GTTAAGATAGATGGAAGGAAGGAAGGAGAAGAAGGGAGGGGAGGGGAGGGAGGGGGAAGGAAGGAAGGAAGGAAGGAAGGAGATCAGAGAAGAAAGGAAGGAAGGAAGGAAGGGCATTATTTGGATCTTCGCTGCCATTTTTAGTGGTCTCAAATATCCTGACTGGGATAAAGCAACTGATTCACACCCTGAACTACTTTTGCGTGCGTGTGTGTGTGTTGAAAAAAGGAATTTGCATCAACCCCGTTCAGAGGCAGCTAGAAATAGAAGTTAGCGTGATCCAGCTCTCATCCTTCGCCCTTGGTCAGCCCAGCCATTTGTTGTTATTAGTCATTCTTGAGAAAGAGTGAATCACGGAGCGATGCCGCATCTTTTTATTTATAGAAGCTTTTCTCAGTTTCCTTTCCCTGCAAGTCCACACCCCGCCAAAGCACAATCTTCACCCCCAGCAAACAAAGCCTTGTCCAGAGCACTTTCAGCAGCTAATAAAGCAGGGCAAAAATGTTGCATCAGAGCGTGACGACTAGGAAGAGAAGCCTTCAAGGCTGTAACTAAAGATACTCCGACGGGTTGAGGAAACCCACTTTTAAAGAAAAAGAGAGCGCTGAAAACACTGAAACAAACCCCATTAGATGCCTACACTGTGCCCTCACGGGCCTCAATTTGAGAGGCGTTTCCCTCGTTGAGGGCATCGTGCATCTTCTAACATTACAGAGTCCGTGGAACCATCTCTGATTTTTACCAAGCTGCAAACCTGGGAACGTGGTTTATTGCAAGCCTAGATTGCTGTCAACCCCCCACCCCCCTGAGAAGATGACAGCATCCTTTAAGACCCGTGAGAAGCTCTCAAGATTTCTTGCAGCTCCACAAACTACATGACTCTCACTAGACTGGGTTTGCCCAGAATCGGACAATTCCCTTCCCTTCCCGTCCCGACAGGCTTTTGGCAACCAGCTCTACGCGCTCAGACAGGCACACTTCTTACCCATGTTATCCACTCCTCGAGGGATAATCACATCTGCGTATTTCTTGGTCTGTAAGGGAGAAGGAGAGTCATAATTCTCAAAAGTCAATCACCCCGCCTAAGAAAATATCTACTCAGATGTGAACTTAGCCAGAAGAGAGAAAGGAAATAGGCTTATATTTCTTCTAACAAGCCTCAACTTGTGTCAGTATTACGGTTCACCATATATTTATTTAATTATTAAATTTATATGCCACCCATCTCCCGCAGTGTCTACAGGTCGTCCTCGTTTAGCAACCACAATTGGGACCAGTAACCTGGTTGTTAAGCGAAGCAGTAGCTAAGTGAAACTGCAATGGTGTTTACGATCTGACTTCAGCTTTCCTTGGCTTTACAGCCCTGTGAAGGTCATAAATGCGAGGACTGGTTATAAAGTTACTTCTTCGTCCCCGTCGTAACTGCAAATGGTCGCTAAATGAGGACTACCTGTACTCATGGAGAAGCCCACCTGCAAATAAGTAACCAAAATACCAGGAAAAAAGCGCCACTCGCGGATAAGCCGACCCACGAAATTGCAACCAGAATCCCAGGAAAAAGAGAGATTTGTTTTTCATGTACCTCAAATTCTCTGGCAGCAACAGAATTGTTTGTCTCCTCCGCTCTACTAATAACTTTTAGCTTGAAAGCTGCATTGTATGATAACCATTCGTGATTTCCAGACATATGATCACCCATCTACTGGAAACGTGCGAAGCGAAAGGCAGAAAGCTACAAACTTTTATGGCATCACTTAAAGCTGTGATTACAAAAAGATCTGAGCTCCGGTCTGCGGATAAGCCAAATCCAATTTTTGGGGTGCAGTTTGGAGCCAAAACTTCTCGGCCTATATGTGATTACATATGATATTATATCTAGGGCTGACTCTGGTTTTCCCACAGATCAGATCAATGGTAAAGAAATATACTGAATGAATGGAACTAGGGGTGGTCCATTAACATGTGGTGCTCCCTGTACATAATACACTTAGATTTTTGAACATTTGGGGCATTTTTATTGGGAAATGGAAGCAATTTTGTATCTGAAAAATCCTCAGCTGCTTTTAAGGGGGCAGGACCCAAGAATTGCAGGAAATGGGTAATTATTCAGGGTTAGAATACCACCTGAGACGGGGAGAGGATTTTCACTCTAAATTACTGAGTTTGGGAATGGAGAGAAGAATTCCAATCTTTCTGGGAATACGGGATGATATTCAAATGATGAGAAGTTGCTTTGCAAATTTCCCCCTTCAGCCTTCATAGTTGGGATTCTCCTAAAGCCAGTCCCTCTTCCAAACCAAAAACAAAGAAGTAGAAAAGAATAGAGAAAAAATTGATCAGCAATCTGCGAAACTGCTCTGAAGAATCTCTCTGAGCAGGTGACTTTGCATTTTCCGAAGAAGGAGATAATGAGGATCAAAATACGTAACTCTGGCCTAACGATCTCAATCAGTTATAAAATATTCCTATAAAGAGGGCTGAAGGCAATAAAATACATCAAACTCTCCACCAACATTTCTTGAAAACTCAGGACAGCTTTTAAAGGGGAGGGGAGGGTTTTGGTACCGGCAAACAGAATTCTTCAAAGGCAGGCTTAACAAAAGTTGTGTATTGGGTCAAAATCTGTTCCAAGTCTCTTCCCCGCTTCATATCCCGGAGAACTGACACAGAAGGAAAACAGAAAACCAGTTAAGAAAGTTACCATCTTGGAGATTCTCAAAGCATTGAGGACAGGATGGGGGACTGGAAAGGGTGGGTGGGAACCTCTAGGAAGCAAACCAGGTTGGGTTTGCTCATTTTGGCTTAACGTTACACACCAGCCCAGCCATTATGGCTTAGTGTTGGGTGTAACTTATGGAAGTTGGAAATGGTTTGAAAGAACGAGGAAAGGTTTGTCTGATCTGACGCCTAAGAAATAGATTCCACCTGTCTAAACTCATTTATACAAAATACAGTAGTTAAAAAAAAGATAGTCATATAAATGCATTAGAAATAAATATGTACTTGAATAATATTTGCATTAGACAAGTATATATAGAATTGTAATTGTTTACTGTTATGACATATTAACATTTTTTTCTTTGTTGTATTTCCACTTTTTTGTTAAAGCACTTTCTATGTGTTCTTTTTCCTTCTCAATAATAAAAAAGAAATAATAAAAAAAGAAATAGATTTCACCTGTCTAAACTACTTAGAAAGCAGCAACTTTCATGCCTGTTGATCTCCAGACTGGTATCCTCCTCCATGTTAACATCCCAAATTCTGAAGCTGCAGTTATTGGGGAGTTGAAGATTAACTTAGCAGCCCAGCAAAAGTTTCCCTTGTGTTTTTCATTTAAGTTTTTTGGTAACACACGTCAGCCATTTGCAGTGAGATCCAAAATCTCCTGTCTGAGAATAGAGCAGTGAGCTCGGAGGGTGCCAACTGTATGACCCCTTTTTATGTCCTTTTATGTAAAAGAATGTAGAGATGACATTGGGAATGAAGGGAATGGACCAATAAAGGAGAAGAAACAGCAACTTAGTCCTAAAAAGTTGAAAACATGAGAAAAGAAGATAACCCCGCTAGATTCTGTTTGGTATAAGATGTAGTAGAGAGAAACACTGGCATACTTTCAAGATTCTATTATCATACCCTACAACAATAAAGTTGCATTTCTGGACTCCCATCCCATCGATCTTGAAGTCTCCCAGAATTTCTCTCTACTCCGTCTTATACCAAACAAAATCAATACTCTGAGTTTCTTCCCAGGATCAACTGCTGTTTCTCCTCCTCTAACAGTTCATCCCTTCCTTTCCCCAAGGTCAGCTCTACATTCCTTTACATTTTAAAGCACTTAAAGGCATGTAACCAACTTGTTACCTCTCCGAGACAACCTGACATCCGAATCGGTGTCAACAAAGAGGCGGAGGTGAAACATGTCTCGGATGTCTTGATTGTAGAAGACCAAAATCCCTTCAAACAGGAGCACGTCGGCAGGGTAAACCATAGTAGTCTCGGGCAATCTGTGCCAATGTAATTGTTCAACAATAATTGTCCAACGCATATAGCAAAGCATAAATGGATCAGAAGAGTCAGCCCTCCAAACGTATCTTTGGTCTTGCATACATAGGAATAATAATTTTATTTTACCTACAGTTTTCTATACATCACCCATTTCATTAACATCTTATTCTAGTGCCAAACACAAGATAACACGTATGCAATAACACAGAATAAAATTACAGCAAAGGAGGGGATATCAGACAGATTATTTGCACGAACCCTACTGAATATTATGGTGGCCAGAATTCTCTAGTTAAGCAAAACAATTATTGCATTTTACTGTACATTATTGTAACTCTCTGCAGGTAGCAACATCAGGTTGATCCATTCTACGTTTGGAAGCAAAGCAGTGTCAGGCTTGATTATTAACTGGAAGGGAGACCACCAGGTAACCCCAAGATTATTAGCTAGACTGAGAAATTCAAAAACAGCCCAGAAGAAGATAACGGCAAAGCATTTTTGTAACACCACCAAGAAAACTCCTGGATGGGTCCACCAAGTCAACGGGAGTGAAGCTCAATAGAAAATGCTTTTGCCTTGTATATTAGCACTCTAAATTTTGAAATGGGGTTCATCTCATCAAGTCTGCCTTCTGGCAAAAACGGCTATCCACTATTTTATAATACAAAAGCAAACCTAGTTCTAATCACATGTTGGGGAAACTCCTGTCTAGCAATTCACCTCCATCTGGCCTGTGAATCCTCCCCAAATCCTTTTTTCTTCTCCCACAGGAGAGAAGCCACAGGAGACAGAAACCAAATTCAAACTGATCTTGAGAGGTTAGAGCACTGGGCTAAAAAAAGAGAACAGAATTCAGTTTAAAAAACACAAGCCACAACTTGTTTTGCGTGGGAAATGGAATGAAATACAAAGGTGCAGAATAAGAGAAACCTGGCTTCGGGAAAAACATGGATAGAAAGAATCTCAGAATTGGAGTTAATCCAAAGTTGAATAGGAGATGAAGATGCGACACAGGGGCTAAGAAGATCAACATACTTTGTGGCTACTTTCCAAATCACAGCAAATCACTGTTTAACTCATTCGACGTTGCTCAGACCTTACTGGCCACGGAGTCCAGTTTTGGCACTGTACTTTACGAACAATTCTGAGAAACTTGAACAAGTTCAGAAAGGAGGATGAACGAGAGATTGGACACCTTAAATTTTACACGGCAAGACTGAAAAATTGAGGAAGGGGTAGCCGTAAAAAGAAGATTGGAAGGAGTAGCAGTTTTCAAACATCTGAAGGGGATGTCAAAAAAGCAAAGATGAGGAATAATGATTTGAAGTGATAGGAAGGCAGGCTGTAGCTGATGTTAGGAAATACTTCCTTGAAGTAAAAACAGTTCAACAGGGGAATTAATGACCAACGAAGTTGGCAGGTTGTCCTAACTGCATGTCTTCAAGCAAAGGATGGACAACTATGCACCAGGTTACTTTCATTGGGATTCTTGCACTGAACATTCCTTCCAGTTCTTGAATTCTATGAGTGGGGATGAAAAACAAGAAGTTGCAAGGAAAAAATGGGTCACCATGTTCACCTGCCAGATCCAGGGAATGGACACTGACCTGGAATGGGTCACAAAATCGTACGTCGGGACCTCCACCGCTTGACCGTCGATGATGTTCTTCAACGTCGTTTCCATCAAATCGTTGTCAAAAGCATCTACAGAGAAGAGGAGAACTGAAAATCTTCCAAGAAGGTAGCAGCTAATCTAGGTTGGGTTCGTATTTCCTGTGTGACAAATACTCCAGAAGAAATGCTTCTAGGCAAGTGAATTTTATGGAGCACCCCCAATGCCTGTAGAAAGCCCACTGGGTCTAGTGATTCAGGTGCTGGATTAGAAGCCACGAGACCACAAGTTCTAGTCCTGCCTTAGGCATGAAGCCAGCTGGGTGACCTTGGCCCAGTCCCTCTCTCTCAGCCCTAGGAAGAAGAAGGTAAGGGCAAAACCACTTTTGAAAACACAGCCAAGAAAACTCCATGTGCTTGTTCCTGCAGCCACAAGGATTCACTTGATGGACCATAACAATAACATCTGGACAGAGAGGAAGATTCATAGAAGTTAGATCATTCATAAAATTGTGCTGGATCAGATCGTTAAGAAATTGGTCCTTCCTCATGATGGTGATTAGTAAGAGTAATTATTCATTATTTATTTATTTATTTATTAAATTTATATGCCATCCATCTCCCCCAGATGGGGACTCTGGGTGGCTCACAATTAAAATCAAACATTAAAAACAGTAAGAATATGAATATCTATATTAAATTAGCTAAAAAGTAATGAGAGAGAGAGAGAGAGAGAGAGAGAGAGAGAGGGAAAGGAAAAAACTATGTACCATTCAAGATGACGGGGGGGCAGAATCATTTCCCCCACCAGCCAATTCCAACAATGCGAGCCCCCATCAGGCTCCCAGGCCATCTGGCATAGCCAAGATTTCACCCTCTTCCAGAAGGCCTGGAGAGTGGGGAGGACCGCACCTCAGATGGTAAGTTGTTCCACAGGGCGGGGGCCACGGCAGAAAAGGCTGTCTTCCCAGACCCCACCAGCCAAAATCCCTTGACTGGTGGGGTCCACAACATGCCCCTTCTGCCAGACCAAGTGGGGTGGGCAGATATAATTAGCTTTATTTCCATCTCAAAGATGGAACCGCTCAAGCTTTAGAAGAGAGTTGGAGTGCTTGCTGCAACAAGATCACTCCTGGCCACCATATCCCTAGTTTGGGGTTCTTCCTCCCACCTCCCCTTCCAAGTGCAACCAAAGGGGTCCACCACGTACCTGGATGATCAAAATTGTACTGCCCCTTTAAGGCTCTGGCTTTCTGTTCTGCAGTGAGGACTTTGTAGAATCGATCTTGGCTGAGAATGACGACCTTCCGTTGACGATGGTCAACCTCATTTTGACCCAGCAGCTCCATGATCTTTTCACATACTGTTGACTATGGAGGAAGGAGGGGACAGACAGACAGACCAAGAAGGAAAGTTAGCCAAGTCAGAACTTCTCTGCCATTGCCTCCACCCTATGGAATACTCTCCCCCCAGAGGTGAGGCGGACCCCTACCCTCCCAATTTTCCAGAGGGAACTGAAGACCTACCTCTGCCAACTTGCGTGGGGCGAGAAGCGATACAACCAACCCTGGGGATGGCTGGAGCCTTGAAAACACCCCCTGAGTTTATTAACACCTAATTAACATCAGCCTCTTGGAAGTATTATATAGGAAGTTTGTTCTTGTAGTATCTATTAATTAATTAATTTTTATCTATTTTAATTAATGTTTATTCTGTTTTTTGCTGTAAACCGCCCAGAGTCGCTCTGTAGTGGGATGGGCGGTGACAAAGCTGAAATGCAAATAAATATAAATAAATAAGTATGGTTAACAGCTTCAGAGGTACCCAGTATATTCTTATCTTGAGGACACGCCGTACTTGAAGCAAAACCAACAATGCAATTTTATATCAAATCAAAAAGTAGAATGAAGGCTGCTAATATTGGTGTTCTATCTGAGCCATGGAACTGGAATCTCCAATTATGAAATTCAGTGGGTCCAAGTTTTAAGAAATATAAAATATAGTTTCCATTTAGAGATGCAGTTAATTCATCAGAAAATTTGTTCTGTGTCTCTAGGATGCCTCCCAATACATTTTTAAAAAGTTGGCTATCAGATTTCTTACGTTGGTGTCGTAAGAAATGGGAGGGTTCGTTGATAGGATCTGATCACATTCCTTTACGACTCCTTTTGGGTTTTAAGTCATTCCCTTAAGGGAAACTATAGGAGTTAAAGATGTAAAGGAAAGGCTGGATTATACCCTCAAACTATGGAATATAACACTTTATGAAGAACTTGTAGAGGAATATCAACTTAAACCTGAAGAAGGAACACAAGGGCAGTTAATATCTCCTTAACCCCAAGAAGGAAGAGCGAGTGAGGAAGAAACTCAAGAGGGTTCTGCCTTGATTCGCCAGGCCACCCTCCGTTAGGCAACGGACAAGCTTGTTCCTTTCCAAACCGTCGCAAATTCAAATCTTAAATGTAGATTTTAAAGATGCATATTTAAAAGTTAGAAACGAAAAGGAACATTTGCAATACCAAATAGAAAGAAAAGGAAAAGAAAAGGAAAAGCGAGGTAAAGGAAAAGAAGAAAAGAGATGAAAAACAGAGAACTTCCAATCTATCTCGGGGCTCAGAAATAATAAGGCTATCGTAAGTGCTCGTTTTTAATACATTAAACAGGAATCATTCTTTGTCTAAACATATCCTGTTACATTGATAAACTAATCTTCAAATCCCCCTGTAAGCTTCGCCCCCCCCCTCCTTTTGCAAATAGTCCATCAATGGTTTCCCTTCTTGCAGGTTTGAATTTTCTTTTCATAGGCAAGTCAGGCAAATTCAAATCTTAGCAGACCAGACAGAACGAAACCCACCTGATTGACGGGGCAACGTTGCCCCTCAAGGGGGACCTCGTTAGCAATCACACGTGGCATGATTCTGAACGCGTGTTACAAGGATGTGATTTGATACAGGGGAACCCGGCAAGCCCGCCGCTCTCCTTGCGATCCCCGCAAAGCCGGGTTTCGGAGAAGGACTTCCGCGCCATGCAAGCACTCGCAATGCGAGCCAGAGGGCCTCGAGGCCGGAGTTTGAACCCTCCCTCTGGCTTTCGGTTCGGCTTTTCGGCCAGCTTTGCAAACGGAAAGCCGCGCAGGAACATCGGAACGGCGG